ATCATAATCTTGTCTCACCTTCATTCTCCTCCTCTAGGGACAAGTAGGATGCCACTGAAGAGCACATGAGTATCCATTTCCAGCAAGAATCTAGCAGTATCATTTGTTCCCACACAAAGGATAATCAGTGGATTCTTTCCTGCTCCCATTAGGATTCTCTTCAGCTTCAGGTCCACACCCCATATCTTAGCTGCTGGCAGACAGTGCACCCTTCTGTTCTCCAGATCAGCTCTGGTGACCAGCCTGTCTGTTCTTCTTAGTAGGGAGTCACCAACCACGTAGACCTGCCTTTTGCTGTGATTGTCTGGCTTTCCTCCTGTTCTTTCTGGCTGCAAGTCAGCTTGTCTTTTGTTTTCCCTTGCAATCTTCTGTGAGTGATCCTGTATCCTCCTGGGGCTCTGAACTCTGGCTGTCTCCATTGACTCTTCCCCTCTTGTTATAGGACTAGCCACTGTTCTCTTCTTCCTGGCCCTCCCTCCTTCTGTTACTGCCTGCCGTGCCCCTTCTTCATTCTCCAACTCCGCAAACCTGTTCCTGAGCTCTATTTCTCCTTCACTAGTCGGGCTTTTCCTCTGCCTGGTTCTCATAGTCACATGCTTCCATTGGCCTCTTTCCTCACCCAGCAGCCTCCCCTCAGACCCCCTCAGTCCAGTTTGCATCTGTGAGTCTTGGCTTTTCCCCTTCAGCCTTTTCCCATCCCTCCATCATCTGCTCTAATCACCTTCAAAACTCAACCATAGTTTCCACTTGGATCTTCTCTTCCGTCAGCGGCATTTCATACAAACAAAGCTCTTTTCGGGTCCCTGCTCCAGGATAATGTACATCCCACAGCTTCCATATCCAGTCATCTTCACTGGCTCTTGCGTTCTGTGGGTCACTACCACTGCTGCCTTTGAATCTGTCACAGCCTTCCCACCTAAGCTCCTGCCAAGGAAAACAAAAAACAAAAAAACCCAAACAAAAGCAGAACACCACACACACCCCAACCGCCCCTTACAAACTTCCACTCAAACTCTCCTGTTTTCAGCTCCATTTGCTTGCTCCTGTGCTGCTGGCCGGCTCCTTCGCTCCTCAGTCCCTTCCTCGCTGTCTTCTCTAAGCTTCCCTGTCGGTGACCTCACTCACCCGCATGGCTTTCCCTGCCCCTTCCACCACCAAACCTAGTCTCGTCTCAGCACATCTCCAGCAGCCTCGCCAGCATCTCTTTCGGGCTGACCCACCACCAACTGGAACTCATTTTCTCCAACTCTGAGTTTCTTGCCTTTCCTCTTGAGCCCATTCCTTCACCTCCCTTTTCTACCACTGTTGTGAGCTCCGCCCCTCCTTGTCTCCAAGGCTCATGCTCACTCCTTTTAAAAGCACCCCATCCTCCACGACTCCATGGCTAATGCCCTCCTCTGTGCCTGGGTCAGCTCTCACCTGGACCATCATTACCTTCTCCTCCCTGGCTTCCCCACTTCTCACCTCAACCTACTAAACATCTCTCCTTCCCCACTGTTCTGGCGCCATCAACTCCCCTTCTATCCCTCCCTTGGTTTCTGACCTCTGGCCCCATCCAATTCACACTCATCCCTCCCACCTTCCAGGTCCTGCATGATCTTGCCCCTGCCCATTTCTCTGACCTCATGTCTTCCAGCTCCCTCCTCTCATGCTCTGTGCACCTCCCAACCTTCCGTCTCATTGCTCCCACTCTTGGCTTACATCTCCCATCCGCTTTCCCTGCTCCTTCCAATCTCGCCCGAAAACCCACCCAGGCCAGGATTTATCCTGCCTAGTTCTCTTCTCCAGTAACGTCTCCTCCCTCTGCTAGGCTGCAGCTGTTCAGGGCATTATACAGATGTTTTTGTATTCATTATAATAGGGTGAACAAGTAAAGAAACAACAGAAAACCTACAGAGTGTTTTCACTTTTATTTGATAAGGGGGATATTAGCAGTGCATCGTGTGTGTGTGTGCATCGTGTGTGTGTGTGTGAGTGCGTGTGTGGGTGTGTGAGTGCATGTGTGGGTGTGGGTGTGTACACTAAGGGGGACAATCTGGAGAAGAGTGAAATATAACCATGGCAAGCAAGTGTCTGCATAAGGTAAAGGTAGGGATGGATCTGACGGTAGATAAGAGGCCCCATAGACGTCAAAGACACGCACTGATTCTTGTAGAGCAGGACCGAGCCCATGGGCGATGTTGAATTTGGAGAAGACAAAGTGAAGGATCATGGTAAATAGCTGAAGAGGCAAGTGCTGTTTTCAGGGTATTTGCCGATCCTGGGAAAGCCTGGTGCTGACTGACTGGAAACAGCAAGTCCAGATCCACTGTTTACAACAGGAAAAAGAGGAATGTCCAGATGTGCAGAAGAGTTTTCTATATTAGGAAGAGTTCGCCAATAAGGACAGTATTTATGACTAGCTGAAGGAGAGTGCCCATTATCCCCCCCTTGCCCTGCCCAATGCGCGCAGGCTGGGAGCGCGTTACAGCCACCGCAGGGGCAGCTGCAGCTGCAGCTCAGGCCGTACTAGCACCTGTGCTTGGCTCTAGAGGCCCCTGGTTCGATCCCTGGCATGAGCTGCCTCAGCTGAACGTGGATTTAACAAGGGTGAATCACTGGATTTAGAGACGGGTCAATCAAGTAGGACAAAATGAGTTACAACCAGGCTAAGCTGAGCGGAGCCCACACACCTGGTGAGTCTGGATTTCAGGCAAGATGGATTATTGGAGGGCTGCTGATGAGCTGGTTGGAAACAAGAGCGACAAGTGGGAGTTACAGGGTGCCCTGGCCTCCCTGAGACGCCACCAGTTCTCCCCTGGTCGTACTTCCTTTTCCTTCTCCCCTCGCCCCCAGCAGCCAGATGGATGCTGCCCCAGGGACAGTTCTCTTGCCAAGCAGCAGGTCTGTTCTGGGCAATGGGTGGTTGCATGGCCTCTGCTGGTTGCTAGGTTATTTCTTTGCTAGAAGGTGGGAGAAAAAAAGCCAAGAAAGCTCACCCTGAACACAGCAGAAAGTGCATCGATCCCCTGGCCCAGCTTCATGGCTGGCGGGAATATCATCCCATGGAAATAATGGTCCTATTCCCCTTCTCCCCTCTGCCCCTGCCACTTCTCCTTCAGCATCGCTCTCTCCGGGCCTTCCCCAGCCTCTCCTGTGGCTGGCACACAATGCAATCTCCTCTCCTGGCTGCTCAGTGATGGGCTTGGTCCAGTACAGACACTTGGCACCTGCTGAGGCCCCGGCGATGGGCCTGTGAGTTTTGGAGGACGGGGTGTTGTCCACAGTGACAGAGAATGGGAGCAGAGGAGATGACAGGGTAAGGGGCTCCTCTGTGGTAACAGGCTCCTCTGTGGTAACAGGGATCTTCAACGTTTTCAAACACATAAACAGAACATTTAAAGCTAGAGAAGGCAGGGCTGTCACCAGCCTAGCAGGACTCAGGGTCTCCTGGTCTCACACAATCCCAGCCTATGCATTGTTGATAAGCACTGACACTGAATTAGGGCCTAATTCTCATTTACACTAATACCAATGTGCACTGCTCTGGCAGCATTACGTGGCCCTAAAGTGCGGGTGGTTGTAACTGACATCCATCGTGAGGCCCCATCACAGTACCTAGCCGTGGAAAGGGGCCTTTGTGGAAACCCAGATCGGGCCCGTTGGTAGTGCTTCACATTTCTTAAAGCATGTTGCAGACACTGAGCCCAAACCTGCCAGGTGCTGAACGTGCCAAGTGCCCTCAGTCCCTAGGAACTCCAGTGGAGGTGAGGGCTCCCAGCTGTTGTGAGGACATGCTCAGCACTTTTCAAGATCAGGGCCAGGAAGTCATCCACCCCATTCAGAGAGGGGGAAACAGGCACAGACAGGTCCAGGCAACATTTTGACTCCTGCTTGGGCCCCATGGCTTTTGGGACACTGCCGCCGGAATATGTTGTATCTGGGAATTAACCCAGCCTGTCAGCCAATCGCCATCGCTTGCTGCTGTGATGACGTCCTTCCTAGGGGTAAGGCTTTGCAGGCAGTGCAGTGCAGACAGTAATGGCAGAATGGCACTTACGCTGGGAGCTCTCCGAGGCAGGGACGGCCTTTTCACTCTGTGTCTGTCCGGTGCCTACCACAATGGGGTCTGTGCCCATGACCAGGGCATGGTGCGATGATGATGATGATGGATGATGAACTGGCAGTGCCCATGAATGCCGGTTTGGGTTCTGTAGGGAAATCACTTCCCTCTTCTGGGTCTGGTGTTGGGTGGGTGAGTGGTGGATGAAGCTCTTTCCCGTATTAATGACCAGTAAATTCTGCCTTTCCCCAAAGAGATTCTAGTCTCAATGTAGCTCCTTCCTGCTGTGATTTCAGCCAGGGAGAGTGGGGGGGGGGGGAGAAAACACACTGAGCACAAGTCCTCCCATTCACAGCCAAAGTCAAAGCCACGCACTCAGGGACGCCTCACACCACACTTTGGTACCCTGGATAGTCCTGTTTTAGACACATAGGCACCACATGGCGCCCTGCCCATGCCCACTGGAAAACCCAAAGAACATTCTCTCTAGAGGCAGAGGTAGACGGCAGGGACTGGGTGTGTCTTCTTGGGTTTTTTATCCTTTGCAGAAAACCAGGTTCTTTCAGCCCTTGGAGTCCATCTGCTTGGGCTGATCACCCCTCACACTGTCACCGGCATTTCCAGAACAGGGTGCCGTATCTGGACCTATCTTCAATCTCTCTGTCTGCCCCCACTCAGCAAGCGCTCATGTCACCGTGGGCTGGCTGTGACACACATTGCTGGATTGGGGGAGACTCCCCAATCACAGCTAAGCCTCTGCCTTTGTTCTCTGGACTGTATCCTGCTCTCATGAATCCCAGCCCCACAGGGAATTCTCTCTGCTGTGTCAGGAGGTTTCATTCTGCCCATTCTGCCTCAGCCTGCTGGGTCTGAACCAGAGCAGGGGAAAGGGAGGCAGCTGGTACATGAGGAGATCGAGAGAGACTCATCACTGTCATTTTCTTTTGTCTCTTTTCAGTGAGGATGACGCCGCCACAGTGTACAGATCGGCAGCCATGCTCAATATGACGGGCTCAGGATACGTGTGGCTGGTGGGGGAGAGAGAGATATCTGGCAATGCCCTGCGATACGCCCCTGACGGTACTTACCTCCACTTCTCTGTGCTAATGTTTATTGCATGTGCAGTGCAATGGGATCTTGGCCTTTAACTAGGACTCCTGGGTTCAAGAGGAGTGCCCAGAGAGGAGACATTGCTCTGAGCGCTGTCATGGCGGTCACGGAACATTCTGAGAAAACAACCAGCTCGTTGTTACTTCCTGTTGTTAACGATGTTACCCTCCGATGCACCCCAGAACAGCAATCCCAACGCCACCAAACAAACACAAAAGAAGCAGCAGCAGCAGCAGCAAAACACACACAGACACACACACAGACACACACAGAGGCAACATACACCAGTCATCTCAATTTCCTTCCCTTCTCTCCAGAAGTTCAGCAGTACCTGGCCGGAGGCATCAGGTGATCCCGGGGCCATAGGTGATACCTCTGATTCAGCTCAAGAGGTGGATGCTGTTGCTGTGGCACAACTTCCACAACTGGCCATGTCCTCTTCCCTATCTGTTCCCCGTCACTAGGCAGTACATCTCACTGGTTAACAATGAGTTCTCCCTGTGGTAAACTTGCCACACTTTGTACCCTGAAGCTCGCAAGATCATACCACAAGTATTGAAAATGCTTCCAGCCCCTCCCCTAACATATATTCCTTGTCCAGGATAGAACACATGCAGTCTTGCATAGATACTCTTGTTGAAACTCGCATGTTTCCTAGACACATCAGTTAGCTTCGAGGATGGCAGAGGAGTGGGATAAACCTTTTCATCAGCACAGATAACTAGGTTGACTGAAGAGCCAATAGAACAGGGTTTCTCCAATACCTTCATGGATGTACTCCAAATATCATATAAAACACAACTTAATGCAACAGGGAAGGGGGTATTTTAACATTCCTCCAGTATGTGAAATACATGCTTTCCCAGAGTCCCATGCAGTCTCGCCACTCTTCTATTCCTTGGGTATGGGACACAGCAGATTTATAATGTACTGTACCAATACTCATCAGAAAGACCTCAAATTCTCTGGATACAAAAAGTGTCCAATTATCTGAAAGAAAGCACTCTGGTAGACCAAACATAGTGAATAACATGGTTAGGCAAGAAATGAGCTCCTCCTCTTGTGAAATTATGAATGCAATGGGGCAAAGTAATAATCTATAACAGTCAATAGTGTGTAGCCATGCAGTGCAACTGAGGGGCCACTGCAATTGTCTGCCATGGTCTGTCTGCAACTACCGGTTTCAAAGGTGCCGGAGGAAGAATAGTTCTATACGTGTCTGAGGGCAGCCCTGGCCACCGAGCATAATTCTGCAGAAGTTCCTTCATCTTTGATCATCCCCAAATATCCTTCATGAGCCATATCCAGGATTGCTTGTCACAACACTGCAGGGACGATCACTCGGGCTTCTCTGTATAAGATATATTGAGTAGCACATGTCTTCACTGGCAGCTCAGAATGAATTTTGTAGACAAGTTGTGCTAAGGACGGGGTCTGGCCAACCTCCTTGTACAGCACATCTCACCTTGCACAGTTGAAGATGGCATCAGCGGTCCTCCCTGAGTCAGTGACATCTCTTTCAGTCAACAGCATACGATGTGCTCTGCTATTTCTGCATACGAGGGTGCCAAGCCAGCAGAATTTCTCGAAAGACCATGGGCAAGTGTATTACATCTTCCTTTGAGATGTACCAAATCAAAGTCATACTGCTGCAGCTGAATAACCCACCACTGCAGCCTCACATGCAGTAGATCAATTGCCTTATGACAGAGGCCTGGAATAGGCAAATGATCAGTTTCAAAAGTGAAATGTCGTCTCACTACGTAAACCTTGAAGCATATAATAGCAAAAACCATTGCCAAGAACTATAGCTCAGTCTGGGGATAGTTTGCGTCTGTTGGGGTGAGAGTATGGGATGCCATCCCTCCTCGAGCAGAACTATGCCCAGATGCTGATTGAATGCATCCGTTTGAACCACTCTGGGCTTCCATGGATCAAAATAAGCACAGGATTGGATCCGACAGGGCTTGACGCAGGGTTTTAAAATCCTGCTTTGCTTCTTCGGTCCAAACCAACTGGCCCTGGCCCTGGGTTAAATCTCCCAGCGGCTTGGCAAGGGTACTAACACTGGGCAAAGCATAGCCACCTGTGTATTAAGCTAGGCCAAGGCACGAACCTCAGCCGCTGTGATCAGCAGGTAATGGTAACGGAGCGACAACTTGCAGCCGTTCAGGTGTCGCTTCCATACCATGGGCTGGCAGAGAATGCCCTAGAAACCCTGAGCGCTGTCATGCCCTAGGAACTCTACAGCATTTTTTGCAAAACTGTACTTGGACTCCTTCAACTCTATGTCAGGTAGTGAGGGTAGCACCTGGGCCAGAGTAGCATTATGCTCAGGAAGAGTTTTAGCAAAGATGAGACTGTCCTCCTAATAGCAACATGCATCCTGGAGCTGAGCTACCACTCTCTGAAATTCTTCCGGAGCAGAGACTAAGCCAAACGGGAATTGTTTTGTATGGGAATGGGCGACAGGGGATGGATCACTTGGTGATTCCCTGTTCTGCTCATTCCCTCTGGGGCACCTCGGAAGACAGGATACTGGGCTAGAAGGACCATTGGTTCAACCCAGGATGACCATTCTTATAAAGCCACAGCTCGCAGAGATTTCCAAAAAGCCTTCATAGTGTCCATAAAGCATCCAAAAAGCCTGCTTCTCTGTAAAAAGGAAAAGAGAGGGTGGATTAGAAAGACAGTCCCAGGCAGGAGGAGGAACTCGGGACTCAGAATGAAATCTTGAAAGTATGTTCTTTCTCAAAGGTCATGTGTGATGTTGCAAAAGCAACCTCATATAGTGCCTGGCTGCATCCTGAGAGCATGTTGCAACAGCAGCAGTCCAGTGCATTACGCACTTTGCAGGAGGGGAATCAGCTAAAAGGACACTGAGGATGGGGAAGCGAATTCACTGGCATTAGAGTTGCTTTGTGTTGCAGTCAGTCTAATTGCAGCCCTGAGTTCAAATTGTCGCTAACCAAGCTTATTTCTCTGACTGCTTCCAGGGGAACAACAACAGCTTTAGCGGATATCACTCCCAGATTCACTCCCCCTGGCCCAGAGCAAACACCCACTCCAGTTCAAAAGGCTTCTGCCAGTAATGCCTCTTACGCTGGGTTTCAGCTTCAGTGCTGGGTCTTCCACATGCATTGTCTACCCCTCCTGCTGCCTGCCTGCCGTCTGAATTCCCAGTGTGCGCCCCATAACACATAGCGAAGTAGCAAAGTGCCTTCCTACAGAAGGAAGCTGGCAATCAGGTAGCCCCAGCTTGAGCCTAACTCCTGCCTTCCTCAGCACCAAGGTTTGTAGGGAGCGGGTCCCCCATGGTCCAGAGTTCATTGGAACTCTGCTAGCTGAAGGCCAGGGTCAGGGGCTCCATGGCTCTCAGTCCAGTGCTGGCGAGAAGGACCTGCCGGGAGGGCATGTCTGCCTGGGGTTCTCTGACCTGCGCCCTGCTCTGTGTTTGCTCCAGGGGTGATTGGTTTGCAGCTCATTAACGGGAAGAACGAGTCAGCTCACATCAGCGATGCTGTCGCAGTGGTAGCTCAGGCAGTGCATGACTTATTCGAGAAGGAGAATATCACGGACCCCCCGAGAGGCTGCGTTGGGAACACCAACATCTGGAAGACTGGCCCTCTTTTCAAGAGGTACCTGGGCTCCCCCCACCCCCCGCCCTGCACACCTTATGTTTGGTGATTTATTACCAATTGTTACTCTGGGTAGGAACTGGATTATGAGTTCCCCAAATTCCCCAAATGTTTGAAGAGGCAGTGTAACCTAGTGGTTGGAGCACAGGACTAGGCATCAGCCTCCCTGGGTTCTCATGCTAATTCTGCCGGTGAATTAATCCACTGAGGAGAGTGGGGAGGGGATTTGAATTGATACTCCATTTTTAAAAATTTTTTAAATCTACATGATTTCGTCACTCAGGATGGAAAGTAAATCTGTGCAGAATAACTAAGAGCAACAGCGATCACTGCAGGAAACTGTGGGGAATGTGCACAACCACTGCTATTCCGCTCAGCTGTTTTCAGATGATCATTTTCCGAGGAATTCACTTTCCTTTTGGTGAATATGGAAAATCCATTTGCAAAGTCTAAGCAACACACTGTCCTGTCAGTTTTGCACTAATAGGGAATGAAACAAATAGAAGCATAATCTTGTTCATGGTAAAAAAAAATGCCAGCAACTTTTATTTAATTTTGTACTGGTGTACAGCACACTAGCATGTCAGCTTGAAACATCACATGGGGCTAGACCCCACTGAGGAGTGGTGAATAGAATTGGGGGAAATGGTTTTCATTCAGAAAATGTAAGAGTTTTAGACAATTGTTCACTATGCATGCAAAGTAGCTTTGTTCATAAAGTCTGTAGCTTTACACCTGGGCTGGTCATTTGCTCTGGGAGGCCCTAGGCGTGCTCTTCGGCGCTGTGGCACTTGGGAGATCTGCAGGCTGGGATCTCCGTACAGTGAAGCTGAGTTGCTCTGCGGGATGGGATCTGGGTGCCCTGGAGCTCAGTTGCTCTGCAGGATCTCATCTTGGTGAGACTCACTTTTGCTTGGGGAAAGAAGTGAATTTGTAGCCTCCCTCTCTTGCTATTCATTCAGTGCCCAGTGTCCCATGCTGGCTCAGGTGGTCTGGTTCATTTCGATCTGTTGTGTCTGCTCCACTGATCAGTTCACAGAGTAAAACCTGCTGAGCTCAGGGCTCCAGGAGTTTGAAAACTCAGGGGTAGTTCCTGGGCTCATTGCAAGCTGCTGGGGCCTCTCTAGTCTAGGGAAAACAGATCCATAACTTTTATCTCATTGACTAAAGAAGGGTCCAATCCCCTAGCTACCAAACCTCTTCCCCAGCTAGCCAGGCTGTCCTCTCCCTGAGCTCTCATCCGCCCTGCTGCCCTGTGTTCTGGGAGGGGAGCAGATGAAGAAACTTGTACTGGGACCTAAACGGGGGTCTTCTTTGTAGAGTGTTGATGTCGTGCAAGTACACCGAGGGCGTGACCGGGAGAGTGGAGTTCAATGAAGATGGGGACAGGAAATTCGCCAATTACAGCATCATGAACCTGCAGAACCGGAAACTGGTTCAAGTTGGGGTTTACAATGGCAGCCATGTACGTATGTTCCTCCAGGGAGAGCTGCGGATGGAGGTGCAGAGCCTGCACCAGGCATCTGATGTCTCTCTCTCCTCTCGGTGACACTCGCAGGTCCTGCCCAATGACCGGAAGATCATCTGGCCGGGGGGAGAGACAGAGAAACCTGCGGGCTATCAAATGTCAACCAAATTGAAGGTACCAGCAAATGTCTCAGCTGGGTGAGATGGAGCCACTGGTAGCTCATCTCACGTGTCTCCTGGCCTTGGGGCAGGACTGAGTCTCAGTTACACTAAAGAGCCTCTTTATGCTGCACCAGCAGCGTCAAGGGGCCGTACCGTGGGAGTGCGTGAAGTTACACGAAAGCACGTCCATGCACTGTCAAGCCCCGCCCTGGCAGAGCAGCGTCCAGGGGCTTGTAACTGAGGGGCAGGCCCAGACTCATTCAGGGTTGCGTTGTCTGTTTGTAAATGGGGCCCTGAGCGGGGCTCTCTGGCCCAGTTCCTAGGTCAAAGCTAAAGGGGATTCAGTTTAGCTTGAGCTGGGATGACCTACTGGAGAGCACTGGCCTGGGATGCAGGACACCTGGGTGCTCGTTCTGGTTCTGCCACTGGCCTGTTGGGTGACCCTGAATACGTTACTTTGCCTCCTTCTATGCCTCAGTTTCCCATATGTAAAACGGGGGTAATGCTATTAGCCTCATTTGTAAAGTGCTTTGAAATCCACGTGGGAGAAGTGCTGCCGGAGAGCTGGCTGGGGGGAGGATTATTATTATTATCATTAGGCATTTGACCCTTCCCTCTGTGCAGGGGCGGCTCTATGTATTTTGCCGCCCCAAGCACGGCAGTCAGGCGGCTTTCGGTGGCGCGCCTGCGGGAGGTCCGCTGGTAATGCAGATTCGGCGGCACGCCTGCAGGAGGTCCGCCAGTCCGGCGCCTTCGGCGTATCCACCGCCGAATTGCTGCTGAAACCGTGGGACCGGCAGACCTCCCGCAGGCATGCCGCTAAAGGCAGCCTGACTGCCGCCCTCACGGCGCCCCCCGCGGCTTGCCGCCCCGGCACACGCTTGGTGCACTGGTGCCTGGAGCTACCCCTGCCTCTGTGACCTCTGACCCCTTCAACAAACACTTCCTGCCCTAACTTTCAAAGCCCATCACAGCCTGCTCTCCCGGCTGAGCCTTGCTTGACTCCGTTATGGGTGATGGGCACCGTGGGATCCTTGCCACGAACGAGCTACACTGAGTAGTCCAGACAGTTTGTGTTTTGCTGGGGCATGGTGTGTATCCCACACCCCCTTGGGGAATGAGAAGGCCCCTGGCACAGGCTCAGTCTCTGAGGCAAACGGGCATGTCTGCTTCCTCCACAGATTGTGACAATTCACCAAGAGCCCTTTGTGTACGTGAAAGCAACACAAACCGATGGAACATGTAAGGAAGAAATTACCATCAATGGAGACCCCGTGAAAAAGGTCTTTTGCACTGGACCCAATGAGACCATCCCAGGTAACTGTTCTTCCAGTGAATAAACATGCAGCAGCAACTCACATCAAAAAAGCGAGGGAGCCCAATCCTGCTCTGCAGCCTGCAGACCTTTAAAGGGAGCAGCCCCCTGGAAAATATCTGAGCAGCTGGGCAGGCCAGAGAGCACCCCACTCAGCTCCTCTCCATTGCCCTGTGGGTGTTGGGAATCTCAGACACCCCGGCATAGAGAGATGCAGCCCCCATGCAGGTCTCTCCTCTCTCTGCATTCCTCTCTTCTCCTTTCTTCCCTTCTCTCTGACTCTCCTCGTGCCTTTCTCTCTCTTACTCACTGACTCCTTCCTTTGTTCTCCCATGGCAGTAAATTCCAACGTGGGAAGTTACTTTGCCTTCCTAAATTCCTTGAGTTGAACACTGTGTTCTCCTTCATTTCCTATCCTGAACTGTTGAACAGTGTTGCTGTGGGCTGTTAAACATCCACTGCATTCCACCCCAGAGGTGAATGCATTTCAGTGGCATTGACAGGTTTCCTGTACAGCCAATAGGGTATTAACCTTGCTAATTCACTACACACATAAAGCACAAGTAAAACACGTCTGGGTGTTTCTCATGTCTGAGCCCAGGGTTGCAGTGAGGTCTCATTGCTGTGACTTCTTCACGCTGGCAAAATACATGGCAGAACATTTACTGGAGCACTTGGAACTATTTCCTCACTATTCCCCATGGCACATGGCGGATGCTTTCTCTTTGCTGTTAGCAAACTTGTTCGTTAGCTCACTAATTCGCAGCCACGGGTCTCCCAGTCCGTCGCATGGGCTCACTAGGTTCTGCTGGGTTAGGCTCTGCTGTGCTGAATTCTCTGCGAGCTTTGTGGTGCTGCATAACCGTCCCGCATCCCTGCTCCCCTCTGCAGGCCGCCCCACCGTGTCGCTGTGCTGCTACGGCTTCTGCATCGACCTGCTGATCAGACTTGCAGGGGTGATGAATTTCACCTACGAAGTTCACCTGGTTGCTGATGGTAAATTTGGCACACAGGAGCGGGTGAGTTTGGACATGTCCCTTTGCCCTGTGTTGACGCAGGAGAAACATATATGGGCAGCTGTCAGCAGCAGCTGGGGTTGCTGTGAGGAGCCTGAGCCCCGGGTCGGTGGGAGAGGTTGAATGTGCTGATGCTGCCTGTGGAGGTGTTCGCACCTCGGGGTCAGCCGCAGAGTGGGGCTCACCCTCGCTGCCGGCTCTTGCAGGTCAATAACAGCAATAAGAAGGAGTGGAACGGGATGATGGGGGAGCTCCTGAGCGGCCAGGCAGACATGATCGTGGCCCCCCTCACCATCAACAACGAGCGTGCGCAGTACATCGAATTCTCCAAGCCCTTCAAGTACCAGGGTCTCACCATCCTGGTGAAGAAGGTGAGGGCCGGTGCAGCTAGTGCCAGCAGACATGCCCCTCAGACAGGCCGAGACGGATGGTGGGTTCCCTCCCCGCACCCAGGCAGCCTCAGCTAATGAGTGCCTCTGGACAAAACCTCCACCTCAGCCCCGCTTCTCTTCCTGCCCCATGCCTCTCATCCGTCCCTGCCCGAGGCTGCTTCCTCCCCATCCAAGGCCTCCCAGGCCCCTCCCCTGCTCCTGAGTCCATCCCACGTTTACTGGGCAGGCTGGAACCATGGTACACCAACCCTGCATTTTATACTGGGTCCGTGGCCCCGCGGGTTTCAAGGCCCTTAGCAGTGCAGACTCCAGCTCCACGGGGGAGGGAGACCCCTCCTGTTGGTCGGTTGGGGGCGGTGACTCCAGGGGGTGGGACTCTGCTGTCCCTCCCCCAGTTTTAAGCACTACCTGGAGACTTTCCCCGCTGGTCGTTTTCATTACGGTCACTCTAGGCCCCAGCGTTAGACCCCGTCCCCTCCCTGCACTCCCTGCCCCCGGTATTTGCTGGAGTGGGAGCTGCGTGCCTTGGCTGTCTCATTGGTAGTGTTGGTCTTTACAGGTGATTTATTAAGCACGATGGGACAGCGCCCTGGGTGGGTCACTTACCGCTAAGCAATGAATGAACATAAGGGTTGTAGCCTTTTGGCAATACTAGCGCCACCACCGGCCTGCTCATCCTCCTTCCCTCCCTAGGGTTGCCAGCTTTCTAATTGCACAAAACCGAACACCCTAACCCCGCCCCTTCCCTGAGGCCCCGCCCCCACTCACTACATTCCCCCTCCCTCGGTGGCTCACTCTCCCTCACCCTCACTCATTTTCACTGGCCTGGAGCAGGGGGTTGGGGTGTGGGAGGGGGTGAGGGCTCTAACTGGGGGTGTGGGCTCTGGGGTGGGGCCAGAAATGAGGGGTTATGGGTGCGGGAGGGGGATCCGGGCTGGGGGGTGGGGCTGAGGGATTTGGGGTGCAGGAGTGGGCTGTGGGTTGAAGCAGGGGGTTGGGGTACAGGAGGGGGTGAGGGCTCTGCGTTGGGGGTGCAGGCTCTGGGGTGGGGCCGGGGCGAAGGGATTTGGAGTGTGGGAGGGGACTGCAGGTTGATGCAGGGAGTTGGGGTGCAGGGGGGGTGAGGACTCTGGGGTGGGGCCAGGGATGAGGGGTTCAGGGTGTGGGAGGGGGCTCTGAGCTGGGGCAAGGGGTGAGGGCTCTGGGGTGGAGGTGCAGGCTTTTGGGTGGGGCCAGGGATGAGGGGTTTGGGGTGCAGGAGGGGGCTCCAGGTTTGGGGGGGCTCAGGGCTGGGACAGGGGTTTGGGGCTCAGGGTTGGGGGCGTGGGGTTACCTTGGGTGGCTCCCGGTCAGCGGCGCAGTGGGGCTAAGGCAGGCTCCCTCCCTGTCCTGGGGCACCGCGCTGCGCCCCGGAAGCAGCCAGCAGGTCCGTCTCCTAGGTGGGGGGCCAGGAGGTTCCACATGTTGCTCTTGCCCGCAGGCACCGCCCCCCAGCTCTCATTGGCCGGGAACCACAGCCAATGAGAGTGCGGAGCCGGTGTTCAGGGCGGGGGCAGTGCACGGAGCCCCATGGCACCCCCGCCTAGGAGCCAGACCTGCTGGCCGCTTCCGGGGCGCAGTGCAGTGCCAGGAGAGGCAGGGACTAGTCTGCCTTAGCCCTGCAGCACCACCGACCGGACTTTTAGCAGCCCGGTCGGCGGTCCTGACCGGAGCCGCCAGGGTCCCTTTTCGACTGGGCGGTCGGTCAAAAACCTGACACCTGGCAACCCTGCCCACTCCCATGTACCTCCCCATGCTGCAGGTGAACCCCTCCACAACGGTCTTATTGGCTATGGAGCCAGGTCATCTCCGTACTTCCCTCTGGACTAGGAGAAGGTCCATCTCCCAAACTCTCCTGCCCTCCCAAGGTTATTCGCCCTCCCCCATTCCCTGCTCTCCAGTGTTGGCACCAGGGCAAAGCAAAGTTTCCAACCGCTTTGCACAAACACAGTCTTTGAATCCTCTCTTTTAAGAAGGAGACTAAACCCTTGGGGGCTGGAGAATGGACATGGCCCCTGGACTCTCTTTGTTGGGTGGAGGCTAATCTCCCTTGGGGGCGGAGTGAAGGCAAAGTGTCTCTGGAGCCTCCCCTTTCAAGCAGTGACTGCAAGCCCCCACCTGCAGGAACAGGTCAAAGCAGAGGACGGGGAGGGAGGCAGGGGGCTGCCAGAGCGGTGGATTGGCAGGGATTTGCTTTCCCAAACGACTCTTTCCAGCCAGGTGCCAATGCTCCTTCCCTCTCCTCCCTCCGTGCTAGGAAATCCCCCGCAGCACCCTCGACTCGTTCATGCAGCCTTTCCAGAGCACGCTCTGGCTGCTGGTGGGACTCTCGGTGCATGTGGTGGCCGTGATGTTATATCTCTTAGACCGGTTCAGGTAACTGACGTTTGGGTGAGGGTGGGGGCGTGTGTGTGTGTGTGGGGGGTGTGCACTTAGGACAGGGTGGGGAGGGGACAGGGAGGAGACTCGTGTGAGAGCTCTAGCTGGGTTACTGACACATGCTCTACACGGCCTCCCCGAGGCCTGCTGGCAAGCGCTAGCGCTGCAGTGTTAGCTCTAGGGAACGTCTTAAACCAAGGCTCCATGGACTGCGCTGGCTCCTGAGTGGCTCTGGGTGCCATGGATCTATAGTGATTGGCTCCTGGACACGTGGGAACCTGACCCTTGGCCCAGTGACAGTCTAGATGCCCAGCTACTAGCCCTTAGAGTTAAACCTGGGGGTTCAGGCCAGGGCAGACTCGGTGGACTCTGGAATTTGCTTCCCTTATTTCCCCAAGAGGCTACATGTCCAGCCCTTCATGCAGTGTGACTCCCACCTCTCCAGACAGCCCCGGACCCGTGGGCACCAGGCTCTCCTACAATTGATGTGGGACCTGAGTCCATTCATACCTTGCAAGTGGCCAATGGGCTGAGAGCCGATTTTGATTTTTAGGATTTTCTCTTCATGGGCCCAGAGGCTGGCGACGTAGCAGCATGAATGGCTAAATCAGATCAGTGCAGACATGCATGTGATGGGAGCCCCACTGCTCTGGGGGAAGCTCTAGGGAGCTGCAGGAATGGGACAGGTCCATGCTGAGGAGATGCCCCCGGCAATGGGACGCCAATGGATGGGCGTGGGAAGAACTACCTGTGCAGGGAAGGCCTGGGAAGCGGGAGGTGGTTGTGTGATGTTGCAGGAGGAGGTTGTGGTCCATGGGGCGCAGTCATGTTTGGGCTGGAGATGCCGAAGGGTGTGGCCCCGGTGTGGGAGCTTTGGGGAGCAGCCATGGGAATGGGACGCGCTGGGCAGCACTGGGGGTGCCTGGGGCGGTGTGTGCCAGCAAAGTGGTTGGCCCTGTTTTTCAGCCCGTTTGGCCGGTTCAAAGTGAACAGTGAGGAAGAGGAGGAAGACGCACTGACCCTCTCCTCGGCCATGTGGTTCTCTTGGGGAGTGCTGCTGAACTCTGGGATCGGAGAAGGTAAGATCTGCTCGAGTCCAAGACGAGTTAATTCAGGGAACCTCAATGGGCTGTCGTATACAGGAGGTTCGACTAGATGATCAGAGTGGTCCCTTCTTGCTTTAAATGCTACGAACTGAGAAGGCATTAGCACACATCAGGGCCCTTGGAGTAGCAGGCCCAGTTGCTTCATCTCAGATCTGAGGGAGACACCAGTCCAATATGCTGGGGGAGCTTCATATCCATCTTCCCCTCTTTTGGAGTGGCAGCATCTCAGAGGGGCAGCACCAAGTCCTTCCTGGGTGTGTCCCCCTCTGCTCCTGGCCCCACTGCTGAGCCCCCCTCAGGTAGGGGCCCTCTGCTAAGTCCAGCTGGGAGCTCTGTGACCAGAGGGATCTGTACTCCTTGAGATAAGCTGTATCAATGGGCTGCTGCTCCCTGGAGCAGCTGTCGCTGAGCTGATGAACTCTTCTGACCAGCAGCAGCTCTCACGAGCTCTTGGAGTCCCTCCAGGAGGGCGCCCAGAGGGACAGGGTGGAGGCAGACTGCTCCCAGACCAGCTGGGTCCCTGCCCGCATGCTGCAGTCTGCTGTAATACACTGGCCGGGGGCTCGAGACCCACATGTATCAGCGCACACCTGTGGGGAACACTGGGGCTTTAGGAGGCGCTGGTGCTCTCTGAAGCTCAGACGTTTCCCAAGCAGGGCTAGTGCTCCCTGCATGCTGGCCAGCTGAGGAGAGAGGGAGCCAGGGAGGTGAGAGGTCCTGAGCAGCCCAGCCTGCTTCCAAAGGGGAACAGGAGAGCCGTGTAATGTCCCAGGGGAGGGCAGCCTGGCCGCACTGCACTGTTTTCTACAATGAACATGCCGGAGAAGCTCTCACATGGGAGGCTAATAATCCGTAAAGGCTCAGGGCTCCCATGTGCAACGTGCACAGGGTCTCTCCATCCCACGGTCCAGCAGGAGCACAGCTAGCATGTCACCCAGTAGGGTGAGAGGTGTTACCTGCTTCAGTGGAAACTGCAGGTGGGATTTAGATCGGCCCAGTGTCCTGGCCAAATGACAGCTTTGGTCATGGCGGATAGTCCATCAATGGCTATTAGCCAAGATGGTCAGGGATGCGACTCCATGCTCTGGGTGTTCCTAAATTTCTGAGTGCCAGAAGCTGGGAGTAGATGACATGGGGTGATTGCCTGTGCTGTTCACTCCCTCTGGGGCACCTGGCATTGGCCACTGTCGGAAGACAGGATACTGGGCTAGATGGACCCTTGGTCTGACCCAGTCTGGCCGTTCTTATGTTCTTACGGTCTTTGCATTCTGGCCTAACATGCCTGCTCCTAGTACAAAAACATGCCAGGGGAACTTCAGTGACCGTGGGTGGTGAGGACATGGCACCTTCAGTTGTACCATGTGGGGGCACTGGCTCACTGCTGACTCAGAAGACGAGTGTCTCTGCTGAAGACACATCACCGCTGCTTACAGCACCCACTGTTCCTTGGGGCCTCCCACTCAGTCACTGCCTGGCCCCCCTTTAGCCAGGAATTCGCTCTGCTGTGTAAGCAGCTCCTGAGGAAGGAGCTGCTGTCACACCAAGACAAACGGTTTCTCTTCCATGCGGGCTGGGACACGGTCCCACCATGGCTCACCATGTCACTGACCAATTCTCCACTCTGGCAAGGGCTGACCTGTCTGTTTGGAGGCACTGCTGACCAAGGACAATCATTTCCAGGCCCGAGCTGTTTGCCTCCCTGGCAGAGGGGAAGTGTGGGGCTTCTGTACTGGGAAGCAATACAGCAAACTGGACCTGTGTCCTCCCTTTGCACCAGTGCCCTGACAGTCACAGAATGGTGCCTGGAGTCAGCCATGTGACCCCCATAATGCCCTGTGGAGAAAGGTCGGACAGTGGTAGTTCAGACAAGACAAGGGGGATTGTTTTCTATCCCTGGGTATCAGATCCATGGTGTCCCGCCGGGTACCTGTCTGCTCTGGCAGTCTCTCCTTGCTGACACACATGGAGCTGCATCTTTGCTCCTAACTCTTTCTCCTTCCCCCCTCAGGTGCTCCCCGGAGCTTCTCTGCTCGTATCCTTGGCATGGTGTGGGCTGGCTTTGCTATGATCATTGTGGCTTCCTACACTGCCAACCTGGCTGCCTTCCTGGTGTTAGACAGACCTGAAGAGAGAATCACAGGCATTAACGACCCGAGGGTAATTAGCATGTGTCTTTCTGAAAGGGTTTTGTGTGTCACTGAGGCAGGTAAATGTGGAAACATACGATGGTCTAATGTGCATCTGCTGGCCGGGAAGTGGGGCCTGTAGCTTGATCTCTGGCGCCAATAATCTTGGAGCCCCAAACACGAGTGCTCAAGGTTCTATGCTGAGGCGTAGCAGCCAAGGAAATGCTGCCCTTGCATCCCTCCCCAGACCCAGCCGTGCTCCCCTTGCGTCCCTCCCCAGACC